TAAGTACTATATATAAGTATTACTATATATTATATATATATATATATATATATATATATATATATATATATATATAACTAACATACACACACACACACACATATATATATATATATATATATATCAACGACACACAATACAGACATACAATAATGCTTGCGTGTAACTACTAAGTCGCTAATACACAACCGTGTTTATCTCCTACCCGCTGTGGAATGAGAGAGAATAACCCGTTGGGAAGGGCAGGGGTAGCCTCGTATGAGAACTGTTGCGGTCGGTCTCCGAAACGGTAGTGTAGGTAGATTGCCGCCTGCTTGAGCGATTGCAGCTCATTGAAGGGGATCCATCCACGTAGGAACGAGTCGTGTGTCTGTGTAGAGATACATGACGCGTGTAGAACAATTAGGAGTATGTGCACGGCACGTGTATGTGTATCATGATGTAGCCATACATATATAAAGTAGCTAAATATATTTACATAGATACAGGTTCCAATATGTACATAGGTACAGCCATGAATATGTATCGAGATACATACTATTATATATGTGTATATGACTCCTACTAGTCCAGATGACAGTAAGTCGTAGTAGAAACACCACCCATGAGATTTGGCGGCTGCATCCGATGGCAAACAGAATGTACTCGAGTGGCATTGGCCGTATGTTGTGCAGGGCAGATGAACGGGCCGTAGCATATTATTCACATGTAGTAGGTGTCACGTATATGCATGAGGATGGTGTAGCTCTCTAGAGAGTACCACGTGTGCGTATTACTTACACGTGCACATGCATAATGAGCCCGTCCACAGTACACAATACAAGCTAACTGGTAGGAGAGGGTGCTGGTAGTAGGTGAGGTCATGAACCATCTAATCAGATGTGAGATGTCGGTGGTATCAGCAGAGCACTGTATGCTCCTATACAGAAAGCCTGCACCACACACGTACGTCCACTCACACGCACAAGTACACCCTTGCACACCCCTGCACACCCACACACGTGTGCCTTTGATTTTATTTGTCACACAGACGTGTGTACATTTGATTTTACTTATCACACAGACTAGACTAGCATGCGCTTGAACACACTGGCCTGGTAGAAAGGAACGATATACACACTCAATCACACAGACTAGACTAGCATGCGCTTGAACACACTGGCCTGGTAGAAAGGAACGATATACACACTCAATCACACACTCGCACATGTCTATATACACACTCAAACACACACTCGCACATGTCTATATACACACTCAAACACACACTCGCACATGTCTATGCATCGGCGTACCTGATAGAACGTGAGGTCGTTCTCCTTCTCCAGAGGCGAGTCTTCGGTCGTCTCGGCATAGCACTGAATGCGCATGCACACCGCCCAAGTACCGGTAGGAATACCTCTGCGACCGAAACTCTCCCACTTAGCCAACACGGAAGCAAGCACAGATGACGAATCAATCATCTTCAACCCATACTCCTACAGCGCAATTAACACCAGAGCATAGGCTCGGTTTGAGATATCGGTGTGTGTGACATACAGCGGTCATGTATAACTTTGGGACTGTTTGGCACAGAGCCGGTCGAAGGGGTTCTAGTGGACAGCTATAGAGGAAAAAGGCACGCGATGTCCTCATACTAGATGCTTATGTGAATGGTGGTAGTCACACGAGCGAGGTAGTCGCAAATACTTGGAATATATTTGTCAATTTCTCTGGGGTTTCTATCTTGCAAATTCATAATAGAAAATAAATTAGGTGTACCTGGCAATCTTCGTACAAGGCATAGGTGTGGATGCGCTTTGCTTTGAGTAGCCCCAATTCGGCTGTCAGGTCATCGAGAATCTCCGCCACGGTTGTGGTAGGAGTGAATCTATGTGTAGGTATGACGCCATGCATGTGAGTACGAGCACGCACGTTGTGTTTGCAAATATGCGCATTGATGGATAAAATATGTACCATATATATATATATATATAAATATATATATATCTATATATACCAAAGTCATACACATGTTAAAAAGCCACCCCTTTGGCAAAACACTCAAACAAGCACGACTTATAGCTCACGTTATCCACCACAGGCATGCACATGTTAATGCAAGTCATTCGTATAGCAATACACCCATGCATATTCTATGCAACACACGTGCCATTCCCCAAATAAGTACACCTGTAGATGGCAGTTACATATTCTGCAACACACTCTTATACGATCCGTATATGGCATATAATATCCGTATATAGCTTATGACTCCATATATAGTATATATATATCCATATATAGCTTATAAGATCCGTATATAGCATACAACATCCCTCTATAGCACATAAGATCCATGCATAGCTGATGAAATCTAAATATAGCATTTGAGATTCATATATAGCATACAACATTCATATATAGCATACAACATCCATATATAGCTTACAACATCCATATAAATCATATAACATCCATATATATTGTTTAAGATCATCCATATATAAAATCCATATATGGCATATAACACCCGTATATAGCATAGAAGATCCATATATAGTATATAAGCTCTTGATATAGCATATAACATCCATTTATAGCATATAACATCCATATATATCCTATACAATCCATATATAGTATATAAGCCCCATATATAGCATACAGCATACTTGATAGAATGCGCCACGCCATCGGTGGTCGTGATCTCAAAGGCAATAGGCTCGAGATTCCTGGTGGCAGTAATTTCGCGGATGGATGATGCGTAGGGCGATATTAAGAGCTTCGCCTTGGGTAGACTATGCAGGATAATCGCAACGCATTTGGTCACAAACTTCTCATCTTCAGTCTGCTTGTGTGTGTGGTGGGTGGGAGAGAGAGGAGAAGGGGTGGGTTACGTGTGTGTGTACGTTGTACGCAAGTGCAGCTATTGTAGCGTGCACGTGTACTGGCTAGTGCGTGTATTTGGTCAAGTGTGTTGTGTGTTGGGGAGGGTCTGTGAAGGGTGGGCCAGAGAGTGAGCGTGGTCTCTAGTGCGGTTGACGATCATGTAGAGATGTGATATATATTCGCTTGTTCCGAACTTCAACCTTAAACTGTGCCATGCAGCTTGGTATACTCGGAGCTATTTGCAGCAGCCACTGCGAATGCGGCAATCACAGTGTAGGCACGTGTTGATAGTCACAAGTGTATTATATGAGCAGAACCAAAGTTACACCCCCTACTAAGGAGATCCTACTACGAACCACGTGCATACACTGTTGCAAGACAGGCTCACGCAACACACAAGCATATATACCGTATCATATACGCTCTTTAGCATTTGTAGGGTATTTCCTTATACCAGCGTATATACGTTATTTTATACTTTAATAAGCATTTGAAGTTTTTTTCATGACATACGCATATATACATTATCCTATAACCCTTTTGTTCAAGATACAAGCATATCTATGCTATCATATACATTAATAAAAATACTATCATACGCCTTTATACGCCACCCACAATAACACATACGCGAACTGTGCATTCGGGGCAAGGTTGCGATACATACGCCCAGGCAACCGAGCCAGTATAGATTTATCTAAGTGAGTCTAAGAAGTAGCTCACAGGCCACGGCATAACTGTCTTGCATTGCGCTTGTACTGCCACTGTTGAAGCAAACAGTCACTAGCACACACATAGCACATATACATAACCCCACAGACTATACTATACTCTCATAGTATAACATGCATACACCCACAGACTATCTTACATATACTTATAACAAGATGTATACATCGACAAACTATCTCTCACACACACCGCACAACATGTGCACACCAGCCATTGACTATCCCCCACACTCCACCCATGTCCTCCATGCAGGACCTCACCACTTACGTCGAGAGTTTCCAACCAGATCAACACCTTCCTGGTGTACTTTAGCATCTTCTTAGAAGGAACAAAGGCATTACTTATCACTACCATAGAGCGCCACAGATCCCTGTGCTCGGCCGAGCCTACTTCGCTGTGGTTGATTAGCATACGCAGCAGTTGCACGTAGGCCTCGGACCGGAGCTCAGGGTATCGCAGTACTAGTTGGATGGCTACTTGCAGGTTCTCGCATTGCTGGGGGATGAGTGGTAGTGGACAATAAAGAGGGATGATTTTAGCACATTGCACAGACAATCCTGGTGAAAGCTCGAGGCCTGGCAGGACTCGCTGCGTACTGCTTCTCACTCGCCGGTTCTATCTGCAGTGCTTAGGTGGCTTTGAACAATTATTGTATTATATTTAATTTTATAGATGTATATATATATATAAATATATATATATATATA